CTGCAAAATTGCTTTGAACTGCAAGATGCAAGTTCAAGCTCACCAGCTGCTCCTTGGAAATCGTATACAGGGTCCCTGTGGGTGGGAACCAACTCAACAACAATATTACATTATAGGATGGACCACATGCCATCTGTCCATCGTCTGCTGATGGACACTTGGGTTGTTTTCAATTTTTGACTGTTGTGAAGGGTACTATGGTGAGCGTTGGTAGCAAGCGTCGGTTTGAGCATCTGTGTTCAAGGAGCTTTGGTATGTATCTGCCTCGGAGTGGGATAGCTAGCTTGGATCAATTTCCAGTTCGCCATAGAAGCCTGACCCAAGCCATGGTATTTTCAATAACCTCATATGCATGTGAAAGCTGGACAGTGAATAAGGAAGACCGTAGAAGAATTGATGCCTTTGAGTTATGGTGTTGGAAGAGAATATTGAAAGTGCCATGGGCTGCCAAAAGAACCAACAGATCTGTGTTGGAAGAAGTGCAGCCAGAGTGCTCCTTGGAGGCCAAGATGACCAAACTTCGTCTCCCATACTTCGGACATATTGTCAGGAGGGACCAGTCCCTGGAGAAGGATATCTTGCCTGGTAAAGTGGAGGGTCAATGGAAGAGAGGAAGACCCCCAGAGAGATGGACTGGCATAGGGGCAGCATTTATGAGTAGGTACCAACTCCGATGGCACTTAACAACAACAACATAGAAGCCTAGGAGGCCCAGGTCCAGCCTTGTACCTCCATTCGGTTACTTTTATATTCAAGGAAAGAAATACATCTGAAACCATGACAGTCATTTCTGGGGGACAGTCACAATGCAGATGTTCTGATAAAGGGGTAAATTGAGGCACTGGCCTTCCACCACCCACCTTGTCTGTAAAGACACCTGAGGCCCTGCCAAACGTTTGAGGGGTTTTGAGGACTTGGGATGCCAGCTGTCTCTAGCTGACCTGGTTCCCTCCAGTCTTACTCACCCGTGGGAGGATCTCAAGGTATCGTTTTCAACATGGTGACGTAGAAACAAATGACTCTCAAACAAATGCACATGTCTACGACCACCCTGAATCATTCATGAAGGAACCAGATGGCTGGCGAGACTGGGCCCAGCTCCCTGAATAAATCCGCACAGAAGGTAGCGAGGCATTCTCTCCAAAATGTTCCACACAGTGATATCTGACTTGTACATTGTTGTTGTTAAGCGCCATCAAGTCGGTTCCGACCTAAGCGACCCTGTATAATTTTCGAGGAGCAGCTGGTGGGTTTGAACTGCTGACCTTGTGGTTCGCAGCCCAGTGCCACACTAGAAGTCCGATTTGTACATGGCATGGCCTTAATCCTTGGTCAACCCAGGGAGGCCCACCCTGGTGTCAGGTGACCTTACAGGGAGGTCCCTGGACAAGGCCAGGAAGCAATGACAGAGGGTCTACAAGCAGCCTCCCCAAAAGATATGCCATGTCCCTGGGACCTGTGAGGGGATCTTAATGAAACAAAGGGTCTTTGCTGATGAGATTAAGTTAAAGGTCTTGAGTTGGGGAGAGCTTCCGGACTATGTAAGTAGGCCCATTTGTAATCATAAAACCCATGGACATCGTGTGTATTCCAACTCATAGCAAACTTTCTCCCATGGAGTGGATGGCAGGTTCAAATCGATGGCTTACAGTCAAGTGTTTTAGTCACAGAGCCACCAGGGATCTCTTCACAAGGGTCCTGATAAGAAGAGACCGGAGAGATGAGGCCACACAAAGGCAGCAGCAGAGGTGACAACCGGCCATATCGCAGACATTGCCCAGAGATGGGATCAGACAGTGTGTAACCTTTGATGGCTGGCTTCTCTCGCCCAGCACCATGTTTTCGAGGTTGTAAAATGCCAACAGAAATAGCGTCAAACACATTGTGAGGATGGATAGTGCAGGACTTTTGTACAAGGGTCAATATGGGTCAGAACCAACTGGACAGCACCCAACAACAACAATATCAACAGAGCAATTTCTGAAGAAGGATGTCATGTCTGGTGCCTGCATTCTCTAGAGCACCCCTAACAGAAATACCACACTGGGGTGGCTTTCACGAACAGAGATTTGTTTTCTCACAGTTTTAGGATGCTACGAGTCTGAATTCGGGGAACAAGCCTGGCCTCTTGTGTAGCATTTCTTGGAGATCTCTGTGTGTCTTGACCCTAATCATTCCCTGGATCTAGGGGCGTCACACGCATAGACCCCAGATCCAAAGGATATGCTCCACTCCCGGCTTCTTTCTTGCAGGAAGCAGGCCCACCTTGCGCTCACATCTCTCTCCTTGTGTCTCTTGTAAGATAAAACGTGCTGCACGCCCTGCCCTTGGGAACCTCAGCACATACATGGGATCAGGATGGAATACCAGCCACTCCTTGGAAACCCTCTACAACGTGGCTATGAGTTGGGCTGACTTGACTGCACCTAACATCAATTCCACCCTGAATCCTCTTGTTAGTTTATCCCATCAGACCACATCACTGGGGATCATTGCATAGCTGCCAAGCCACTGAGAGTCTTGGTCCAATCAAGCCGACCTATTTTGACGGGGACACAGCTCAAACCACGACACTTGGTACAAGGTCAGGGGAAAAGGAATAACTGTGAGGGTGTTTCAGGACCCGGCAGTGTTTCATTCTATTGTATGTAGTGTTGCTGTTAGTGGGAACTGACTTGATACCACCTACCAACAACATCCTTATCAACAACATCCTTATCAACAACATCCTTATCAACAGAGAAAAGATTGAAGTTGTCAAGGACTTCATTCTTCTTGGGTCAACTATCAACACTCACAGAAGCAGCAATCAAGAGATCAGACGGTGTATTGCACTAGGCAAATCTGCTGCACAGGAACTTTTTAAAGTGTTGAAGAGCAAAGATGTCAACTTGAGGACTAAGGTGCGCCTGACCCAGGCCCTGGTATTTTCAATAACCTCATATGGATGCGAAAGCTGGACAGTGAATAAGGAAGACTGTAGAAGAATTGATGCCTTTGAGTTGTGGTGTTGGAGGAGAATACTGAAAGTGCCATGGCCTGCCAAAAGAACCAATAGATCTGTTTTGGAAGAAGTGCAGCCAGAGTGCTCCTTGGAGGCCAAGATGGCCAAACTTCGTCCCTCATACTTCAAACGTATTATCAGGAAGGACCAGTTGCTGGAGAAGGATGTCATGTTTGATAAGGTGGAGGGTCAGAGAAAAAGAGGAAGACCCCCAGTGAGATGGATTGGCCAAGTGGCGGCATCGATGGACTCAAGCGTGGCAACAGTAGTGAGGTTGGCCCAGGAGCGGGCAGTGTTTCCTTCTGCTCTGTATAAGGTCTCTATGAGTTGGTACTGACTCGATGGCACCGAACAACAACGTGAGTCCAAAACAACTTGTCAGTGAGTCTGGTTTTGGTTGTGTCTCCAAAAGAGACTGATTTAACACACATCTTAGGTGAGTCTCAGTCACACAACAAAGAAAACCAATTCCCAAATGAGACTATCACCCCAGAAATAGCATTGTTGTTAGTGCCACGGAGTGGGTTCTGACTCATAGTGACCCTGTATAGGATTTCCAAGGAGTGGCTGGTGGATTTGAACCACTGGCCTTGAAGTTAGCTGTTCAGTGCTTATCCTGTAGCATCACACCCGGACTCCACCCCAGGTACTGGGTGTTAACTACCGTTGAGACGATTCCGACCCATAGCGACCCTGTATAGTTTCCGAGGAGCAGCTGGTGGGTTTGAACAGCCGACCTTGTGGTTGGCAGTCCAGCGCTAGGAGTCCAACACATTGAGAGCGCTGCGGGTTAATGCGCTGGTCGGCAAGGCTCCACCACCTACACAGGGCCGGGGTTAGGACGGGAGGTCTAAGGGCTTTAATTAGACCAAGAAGACCTGTATGGGATGTGAATTTACAGACTCCATTGGCTGAGACCTGTGCTTGGAACCTGGAGGAAGTTCCACCCGCGTTAGCGGACCCCCAGCCCACCTGGCCGCTGGCCCTAGTGGTCCCCCGACTGTGTTGGGGGGCTGTGGTCCCGCAGATAGAACCCTCCCCCGGGAAAGCGTCAAGGCCCCTCCTGCCAGCCTCCGACCTGGTGCATCAACGTCCGGAGCTCAGCCAGGCCCCTTCCTGTCCCCTCGGCTGCCCACCACCCTGTTAGCGTGCTCCGGGCACCGAGAAGAAAGGAGACGCCGGCCTGGTGGACCCCAGATGGCGTAGGGTGTTGTCCTGCCGGGATGGAGGGTCAACAGGAGTGAGATTCTGCAAGAACCTCCCCGGGCCTCTGTCTCCCCATCCTGGGTCTGTTTCTCCAGCACAGCGGCCAGGGGCGGGACTGTGTACGGGCTGGCTGCAGTGGAACGAACAAAGGCCGCTCGGGCTTAATCCCGAACGCATCGCGCCCGCAGGCCCCGCGGCTCGCAGTAGACATGAAGCCAGACCTGCAGGGGTGGCGCTAGACGGCGTGCCCCGCCCGTGAGCTAGCCTAGAAGTTTGCCTCAGTTTGAATCCAACTTTTTGGCCAGATGCCCAAAACCAAGATGAAGTCCTATAGGTTTCCTGCCCGACTCCAAGATGGCGGCCCACCTCCCTGTGCCTTTACGCCCGAGGGGGGCGGCTCCTGCCCGTATGCAAGATGGCGACAACCTGAGGGAAGCACGCTTCCCGCCGCCTGACTCGCCACGTACCCACTCTCAAGATGGCTTCTCCCACAAAGCCACACGCCACAGGGCAGCTCCCGGCCCTGGGACTGTCACGTGGTTCCACCTTCTCCCAGCCCCCACCCCTCTTCCCTGGACCCCAAGGGCCGTTTCCTCCTTGAGCGCAAACGGAAGGCAATTTCTACCAATAGGAGTTTGCCATTCTTCTGGGTCCCACCCCTCGAGTGGCCTTGTGGCCATTGGGAGGTGCGGGCAGGGGGCCGCGGAGCTCGGCCCGCCCCCTCGTCGCGGCGGGAGCCAATGAGCAGCTCGCGCGGGGGACGTGTTCGGGCGTCTCCGCCATTTTGTGAGTCTATATCTCGGAGCCGTTGGGTTGGTTCCTGCTATTCCGGCGCCTCCACTCCGTCCCCTTCGGGTCTCCTGTGTGTGCAATGGACGGGTGAGTCATAGCTCTGCAGTTGCCCGCCGTTCTCCTTACGCCCAGGCTTCCCCTCCGTCGCCTCGCGGCCGACGACCAGCGTCGCGCCCGCTGCTCATCTCGGCCAATGGGGGCCGGGGTCTCTGGCTCCCTTAGCTCTCATCACTGGAGCGGGGCTGAGGGCGCGAGGCGGCCGCGCTCCCAGAGGGGTAGAAGGGCGGAGAGCCCCCACCCGGCCTGACCCCACATCCTCATCCTCGCCGTCTCACACCCCTTCCCCCGCGGCCCCGGCCATTTCCGGCCTCCACGCGCTAGTCCGGAGCGCACGCGGCGGCCTGTGCCCCTCCCCCCCGCCCGTTGCTGAGCACTTCCCGTCCGCCCCGCCCCAGCGGCGCGCGGCCCGGCCCGCTTCCCGTCCGGCCCGCGCGCGCCCCTCGGCCTTTACTGTGCGCGTGCTCGGCAATCGCGCTGCCGGTGTCCCTTCCCGCTTCCCGTTTGGATTTCCCTGCGCGTGCACTGGATGCGCGTGCGCGGCGGTTTGCGCGCCAGGGTTGGCCCTTCCCGCGCCCCGTCTGGCCTCCTAGCGCGCTTTTCCAGCCGCGCGGACTCTGGCCTCTCCTCCCCCGCCCGCCTGGGGCCCGGGCGCGGCCTTGGCGACGCTGCCTTCCCGCTCAGAAGGGTGCAGGCTCAGTGGTGGCGCCGCCCGCCCCAGCCGCGGAGCCCGAATGGCCGTCCCTTTTGGCGCCCGAGGCTTTCTTGGGGAGTGGGCTCACTCCCCGGCCCTCAGGACCGCTCCGTGCCTTCCTGCTGTCGCGTTTCACCGGGTGGCCGAGCCGCCCGCGCTTCCCCGGAGTGGTTTCGCTTCGCCTTCCCCTTTGTTCCACCTCCTGCGAGGTTGGGCGGCGCGGCCCAAGGTCACAGTGGAGCGCGGAAGTGGCTATGCCCCCGGCCCCGCGCCATTTCCTTAACTTGAAGCAAAACTTAGTGTCCCAGGCCTCCTGGAAGAGAAGACGGGAGGCTATGGATGCGCCCCCTTGGGTGAAAGACCAACGGGGTCCTTTTGTGGAGCTTGTTGGAACTGCGTGTCATTTTTAGCAAGTCGGCTGTGGACGGCTTCAGTGGGGCCGTGAACAGGAGTGGGTTTTGTGGTGCGAAGACCTAGGTCTGCTCGGGAGAGGAGTTCGCACTTCACTAGGCCGTCCCGTCTTGGTTTTCTCCTGGGGGAGGGGAAGTGCTGGGGTTTAAAGCCGTAATAGGGTGCCGTTCCTCCCCTGGGGCCCGATCCGGAGAGGTGTGGTTCGGCGCCCGCCCGCAGCATCACGTGCACGGGCTGCGTGCGAATTCAAAGTGGCGAGTTAGACCCAGCCTTCCCGGCTCAGCCCGTTGGGTGTTCCCCACCTGCAAGGCAGGAGGGACAGGAGCAAGCTTTGCAGCCCTAAAGGGTCCCTGCCTGCAAGCTTCCCCTGGGGGCTTTTCAAAGAGCTAATGAATGGCCACTGGGCTGGGAGTGGGTGCTTCAGGGGACTGGGTTTTCCTTGGGTAGCAATCCGGTTAGAAACCTGCTTCTGGTGTCGGGAAGAGGTGAAGCCCCCATGAGGTCGGGAGTACAGGTACCCAGACTGCTCTGAGAACGAGAAGTGCAGGTGGAGTTGCGGGGCTGGCGGCCTGGGTTCCTGACCTTTTACAAAGCCCTGGAGGCACTGCCTTCCTCCAGTCTTTGCTGAGGCTCAGGAGAAAGTCCAGTATTCAGCAGGGGTTGATGAGTAACTTGAGCACCTTACAGACTTGTACTAGTTCTCACCTCCTCCTTGGGGCGGTTAAATGGACATTGGTGAGGTCTTCCTTCCAGGCTTCTGGAAAGCCAACAGCAGCAGTTCTCCCTCCTCCAGGATGTTAGGAAGGGGGTGGGTTTTGCCCTTGGCCTCTGGGAGATGTCTGGGGACACCCCCTTTGCAGTTGGTTTGAATGGAGGGTGGCTCACTTTCTCACTACAGGTGGGGGGGGTTGGAAGTGGGGACCTGGGGTAGCTCACTCACCTGGCTAACGTGTCTCTTCTCTCTCCGCAGCATTGTCCCAGATATAGCAGTTGGTACAAAGGTAGGCATGCTCACTGCCTTTTCACTGTGCATTGTGGGCACAGGGACTCATAAAAGCCTCCTGGGGCCTGGTGTTTGGGGTGGGTGGGATTGCATGGCTGGAGATCAGGGGTGTGCTTGCATTCAGCTGTTCATGCTTTGACACTGAACTTGGGGCCAGGTCCCTAAAACACTGCTTCCTACAAGGACAAGAGTCGTCAGTTAACTTGGTTTTGGTTTTTTTGTGTGTGAAAAATGGCATTTTAGGGTAAAGGCAGGCTGGAGCCGACTGGTGGGTTTAATTGGCTAGGTCTGGTGTTTCCTAGGCCACCTGTTGGGAGAAGAGGGCTTGCAGGGCAGGTGGAACAGGGGTCCCAGGGTGGGTGCACACTGCCCTCACCCTGTGCTCTGGGAGCATCCGAGGGACAGGAGGCCTGGTGAGAGGGCATTGCACCTAGCTGGGCTTGTCCCATCATGCTGAAGTGACCAGAGCAGGCACGTCGGCCTGTGTTGTCAGGGTTTGCCCCACTGCAGATGGTCGTGGTCATGGGAACGGTGATTAGGGTTTCAGGCCAGTGGCCAAGAATGCGCTGAGGAAATTCCCGCCCTGCCTGGCGCTGCGCTCACAGGCGGAAGGTCTCTTCAGGGTTTGCGGGCGTTGGTCGGCGTGGTGACGGCAGCCCTCTTGGTGGCTTGTGTGGAGCTTGGGACTCACCTAGAGGGGTTTTTTTACGTGAGGGCCAGAGTCACATTGAGCAGCACCTGGGGAACTGTTTCTGGTCTCCTGGTTCCTGCTGTGTCCGTGTCCACTCCCTACTGTCCCCCCACAGGGCCTCCCATCCGGCCAGCCTCACTGTGCTGAGTGTTTGCTGGCAGGGTGGAGGGAAGGCAGACGCCCCACCATGTGCTTGAGAAGGGACAGGTGTGGCCAGGGCTCCAGGCGCTTCCTGGGCTCGGAGCTGGCTTCTGAGGAAAGGGTGGGAGCTATCTGTTGATCCCATGACAGTCCAGAGTCATGTAGAAGACCCCACAGGTGATGAGGGCGGCTGCTGTGGACAGAGCTCAGACTGTAAGCAGGCACGGCTCTGGGGGGGGGTGGGACACCACAGCACCTTCTCTAGTTTCTCAGCTGTGGGTACGGTGTTGAATGTCTGGGGGGGGCGGTCTGCGGCTCCGAGGAGCTTGGGCAGATGGAAGTGAACAGGGAGTCCACGCTGAGACAGGGTGGTGGTAGTGGCAAGACTGGGCAGAACCTAACCCCACCCGCCCGTTCCCTGAGACTGACAAAGCGGGGCAGGTTGGGTTTCCTGAAAGGGCTGGAAAATAGGACGCCCGTCCAGGACGACAAGGGGGCTTTGTCTGCCAGTAGCCGTGTGATAGGACATCTCCCGGACTTTGGACAGAGTTGAGGGACAGAGATGGGGGTGGTGGGCATCTCAACCCAGTTTCCCTTTTGGGGGGCCCAGGAACCATGTTGTGGGGACCTCAGTGGCACCAGCTCTTGTCAGCCTGGGAACTGGGGAAGGGGAGGAGAATCCGTTTGTGGATGTGATGTGTGGGAGGTTGGAGGTCTGTGTGGCCCTTTGCTCCAGGGCAGTCTGGGCTGAGCGTCCTCTCTTACAGCGGGGATCTGAAGAGCTCTTCTCTACCTGCGTCACCAACGGGCCCTTTATCATGAGCAGCAACTCTGCCTCTGCAGGTAACCCTGTCCTGGGTCCCCATTCTGTGTGTGGCCCGCTGGGTGTTGGGGAAGGAGGGTGGCGGGAAAGTCGTCCCTCCATACCTCCACTTTCTGCAGCCAACGGGAATGACAGCAAGAAGTTTAAAGGGGATAGCAGGAGCTCAGGCGCCCCATCCCGCGTGGTCCATGTCCGGAAGCTGCCCAGTGACGTCACCGAGGGGGAGGTCATCTCCCTGGGCCTGCCCTTCGGGAAGGTCACCAACCTGCTGATGCTGAAGGGCAAGAACCAGGTATGGCGGCCCGGCAGGCAGGTGCTCTTCCAGCTGGGAGGGAGGGAGGTGAGGGCCTGCCCTGTAAGCCGCCTGTCCCTCCTGCAGGCTTTCATTGAGATGAACACAGAGGAGGCAGCCAACACTATGGTCAATTACTACACCTCTGTGGCCGCCATGCTACGTGGTCAGCCCATCTACATCCAGTTCTCCAACCACAAGGAGCTCAAGACCGACAGCTCGCCCAACCAGGCACGGGCCCAGGCGGCCCTGCAGGCTGTGAACTCGGTCCAGTCAGGGAGCCAGGCCCTGGCCGCCTCGGCTGCAGCCATGGATGCCGGGATGGCGATGGCTGGCCAGAGCCCCGTGCTGCGGGTCATTGTGGAGAACTTGTTCTACCCCGTGACACTGGACGTGCTCCACCAGGTACCTGTGCCCGCCTGGGGGAGGGGTGGGCGGTGGGCCCGACACGCGTCCTGTCTCCGTGGCATAGCCTGACCCAGTTGCTCTGCTGTCTCTAGATCTTCTCCAAGTTTGGCACGGTTCTGAAAATCATCACCTTCACCAAGAATAACCAGTTCCAGGCGCTCCTGCAGTACGCGGACCCTGTGAGCGCCCAGCATGCCAAGCTGTCTCTGGACGGGCAGAACATCTACAACGCCTGCTGCACACTGCGCATCGACTTCTCCAAGCTCACCAGTCTCAACGTCAAGTACAACAACGACAAGAGCCGAGACTACACACGTCCCGACCTGCCTTCAGGGGACAGCCAGCCGTCCCTGGATCAGACCATGGCCGCAGCCTTCGGTAAGACACCCTGGCAGGTGGAGGTGCGTGAACGCCAGGATTCTGTCAGCAAGAGCGATCTCCTCGGGGAGGAGAGGCCCCTGTCCAGCCCCCAGATGATGACCCCTGGTGAGGTGGGGCTGTAAGGGCCCGCGGTGGAGGCCTGGGTGCGGTGATTAGCGTCTCGTTTGTTTCTAGGTGCACCTGGTCTAATCTCAGCCTCTCCGTATGCAGGAGCTGGTTTTCCTCCCACCTTTGCCATTCCTCAAGCCGCAGGTACTCAGACTTGCTCTTGTCCTCCCCCCCACCTGTCTGCATGCCCACATAGCCTGCCCATACTTGCTCTCAGTGGCCGCAGTGGGCTGGTCAGTGTAGTTGTGAGTGTGCAGGTCACAGGGCCTCTGGGGAGCTGGGCCAGAGCAAGTCAGGCAGTTGTATGCTGTGCCCGAGGAGAACAGTTGGGGCAGGCAGGAGGGCGGCCTGGCCGTTGATAACTGCCCAGTGAGAGCCCCCTAGTAGACAAGTTCAGTGGCTGGTGAGTTATACAGGTGAGGTGGGGCCCACATGGAGCTGGCTGCACGTGGTGGAACGTGGAGGCGGCTGGTGGTTACACAAGGTTTCCGGGTGTGTGTCGTCCGGCTGGCCCATTCCCCAGCTGGACACGACCTAACTCTCCCTTTTTTTCTAGGCCTCTCTGTTCCCAACGTCCATGGTGCCCTGGCCCCTCTGGCCATCCCCTCGGCGGCAGCCGCAGCAGCAGCAGCAGGTCGGATCACCATCCCCGGCCTGGCAGGGGCGGGGAACTCGGTTCTCCTGGTCAGCAATCTTAACCCTGAGGTACGTGCAATTCCCTTCCAGGTTTCAGCCCAGGAAAATGTGCAGGGACCTCATGCTGGTCTGCGTTCTTAGCGCCTTCTCGGGGCAGCTCGGGCCCCACCCTCCACTCTCCTTTCACACAGCCGGTCTCCTGTCTCCTTAACATCCTGATTGACGTCTCCAATTCCATAATGTTCAGAGTTGAAATATTTTCTGTTATGTGGAAGCAACCTAAAAAGTGATGGGGAACAAAACCTGGGTGCCATGGGGAGAAGCCACTACACACGTGGTGCCCGCCCTGTGATGGAGAGGTGCCAAATGGTGTCTGAATTTGTATTTGTCAAATTGCCTCAGAGAGAGCTTGATGCGATCCTAAATGCTCAAAATATTTAACTCTTGATGGATGGGATTGCCATTTAATCAACATTTCAGACTGCTCTTTACCTGTCTGCCAAATTCCTGTGGGCGAGAGCAGGCCAAGGTGGTGCTCTGGCTCCTGAGCCTCCCCAGGGAGACACGGCGTGGTGTGAACTAACAAGACTCCCCTCACGGCCTGGCCTGGGTCCTGTTGAGAGAATTCCTTCTCTGTGCCATGGTCAGCAGGAGACGATGCTTCAGTGGTCAGAGCGTGGGGTGGGGGGTTTCTGGCGTGGGCCTTGTGGAGGCCCCCCCACCAGTGCTGTCTCCTGCACTCTATGCTGAGAAGAGGGGCTTCTCTCCCGCTGTGTCCGCGCCGTGGACCCGTAACTTGTAATGTGTGTATAGATCTTGACTGATGGAACGCTACATTATTTTCTTATGTATTTACTGACCTGTGTTTTTTGCTACTTTTTTCTTTTCTCCCCTTCCCCTTTCCCGATTGTTTTCTTGCCCTGATCCGGAATTTCTTTGCCAACTGACTGCACGGTTCTTCTGCTTCCTGTTGTTGCTTGAAACAAAACATAAATAAACCAAAAAACCAAACAAATTCCCCCCAAACCCTGCTCTCCGGAATATTAACCACCTTGACAACTCCGTCATCCATCAACCATGTCGCACGCCTGCGGGGACTGCCTTCCTCGTGGTGGACGACTGCCAACCTCGCTCCCCCTGACTCTCCCTCTCCCTGTCCCTCCGCTGCCTTGCTCTGCTGTCCTTAGAGAGTCACACCCCAAAGCCTCTTTATTCTCTTCGGTATGTTATCATTCACCCTTTATTACTTGGTTTTCAGTGAGTGGCGGTCATTGACACCCTAAGTGTACTGTGATTTTGCTGCTGGCCTTCAGCCTTGCACCATCTGCTCGGTTTGCGTGTGTGCGTGTGGCGTGCGTGCGTGCGGCTCCTGGGTACGCATGGTGGATGGCCCCGCATGCCTGTCCCACAGTTACGATGTTGGTAGCATGCTCAGTTGGCCGCTCCTTGGCCTTGACCTCTCCTGTATTTGATTACCTTTTGGCTGAACTTAGTTGTTCCTGTAAGGCATCCCTGTAACTAGTAGTCAAAGGTTCCCCAGGGGCAGAAGGAGTGGGGCGTGGGGGATGGGGGTTGGGGCTGCGGGAAACCGGGGCCTCCGCAATCAGGACCTTGTTGGGTTTTTAAGGTGTGTATGGGGATGTGCAGCGGGTGAAGGTTCTGTTTAACAAGAAGGAGAACGCCTTGGTACAGATGGCGGACGGCAACCAGGCCCAGCTGGGTAAGCAGGATGCCGTGGGGTGCTGCGGGGGGTGGGCAGCACAGGGAAGGGTGCTGCGGTTGGCCATAGTCCCCCCATAACCACATCCTGTCCTGCCACAGCCATGAGCCACCTCAATGGGCACAAGCTGCATGGAAAGCCAGTGCGCATCACGTTGTCCAAACACCAGAATGTGCAGCTGCCGCGCGAGGGCCAGGAAGACCAGGGGCTGACTAAAGACTATGGCAACTCACCTCTGCACCGCTTCAAGAAGCCGGGTTCCAAGAACTTCCAGAATATCTTCCCCCCATCGGCCACCCTACACCTCTCCAACATCCCGTAAGGCATACCCCTCCCCCACCTCATCATAAAACCCTGAATCTAATAGGATATGTGCTCTTAGCTGTGAGTGGTTCGTGCTCCTCACTCCGTGGAGGCTGATTCTGGCCACCTCCCCAGGGGAACTTGACTGGGCATCTGGGCTCATCCCTGGTCTTTGTCACAGGCCCTCAATATCTGAAGATGACCTCAAGATCCTCTTCTCCAGCAATGGCGGCATGGTCAAAGGTTTCAAGTTCTTCCAGTAAGTAGTGGCCAGTCCCCCTCCCCGCCCCTGATGGCTCCCTGACTTTGCCTCCTGACACCCCAGTCTTGCAGGAAGGACCGCAAGATGGCGTTGATCCAGATGGGCTCCGTGGAGGAGGCCATCCAGGCCCTGATTGAGTTGCACAACCATGACCTTGGCGAGAACCACCACCTGCGTGTGTCCTTCTCCAAGTCCACCATCTAGGGCCCACCTGCCCGCCCGCCTGGCCCCGCCACCACTTCCGTCATTCCAGAGAAAACGCCACTTTAAAAAAAGCAGCTGAAGTGACCTTACCACCAGAGATTTTATTTTTTTAAAGAGAAATCAGTTTACCTGTTTTTAAAAAAATTAAATCTAATCCACTTTCTAACCCTGCGGTGACGGGGCCACCTCACTAGCTCGGTGCCTGTCGTGAGTGGAGGGTTCCATGGCTTGGCGCCCACCCCCTCAACTCTCACAGTGATGCCTTCTCTGCCTGCCTGCCGTCAGCCACCTCGTGGCCCTGCCAGGCTGGGCTCCAACCACGAGGTGGCTTCCTTGTGCCTTAAACCCTGTGTCTGGGGGTGGGGGGGCTGCCTGGCAGGTGTTGGGGGACAGGAGGCCACAGACTCTGCGTCCATCATGTACTGACGCCTGGGGAGTCTAAGCCCTCTGAGCCACACCCCCACCCCACCCCCACCCCCACTTAATCAAGTGACGTGATTCCCCTTCCTGCGCGGAGAGCAGGCGGCCTCGCCCCTCTGTATTATAACCGCAGTGCAGACAGCTGTGCCTAGCAATACTTCCACTTGACCAAATATTCTAATCTCTTCATTTATATGCAAAAAATAGTTTGACGTAACTTTTTATAGCAAGATAAAGATGGTATAAGTGTATCTAAGCTTCCTCCTTGTGGTATTCCTTTCTATTTCTTTGTTTCTTGTTACTGAGGGATGTCCCAGGCAGGAATCCCCCTTGTTCTGGGGAGCAGATGGGCAGGGGCAGTGTTGGCCCCAGCCCTGGCCGGGTCTCCATGGCCTTCTTCCACACCTAACTTGTGACCCGTCTAGAGGTACAAGCTCTTAAACTTCTTCAGGGTTTCTTCGTTTTTGTTTTTCCTGCAAATTGTGGACCAAAGTTATTTCTGTTTTCTGTCTGCCTCCAGTGCTGGGACCCAGAGGGTGAGGCAGGGTCCTGGAACTGCTCAGCCATCAGCTGTGGTGGGTTCCAATAGCAGCAGGGACCCCTGCTCCCCCACATCTGCATGGGAGGAGTGTAACAAGGGTGTACATATTTATGACTTTTTATACCTATGAGACAGACACAGGGGCAGCAGGGAGGTTTTTTATCCTGACAGATGTATATTTTGATAGCAATTACAGGGCAGTATTGTAACCGCGGAAGCGTGACCACTGCACGTTTGTTCCAGTGCCGCCGACGGCTGTGATGCACAAGAACCGCATTAAACGATTTTATAACAAACTTTGTACCTTTTCTGTAGACCTCTTCTTCACGTTGTAGAAGGCAGCTGGCCGTCTGTACTCGGGACTTTGAATAAATTTCTTCTGTATCCTGCACTCTTGACTTTACACTTCTTTGCATCTGTTTTGTCTTTTCCATTGGGACCTGTCCTTGATGCTGCTCGGGTCTTTTTTCTCCCGTCCATTTACACCTGATCTGGGGGGTGGTAGAGCCCACCTGTGGGATGGGCTGACCTGACATCACCCCCCTCCATGGTCTACACAGCACTTTATCAGACATTTCAGCTTGGGGAGCCAGGGATCCAGTGTGGCCTACCTACACCCCGGTTAGCATGGTGTCCATGGGGACTGGGGGGTAGTACAATGAAAACGACTTCAGAAGGGATTTTGCCCGCTCCTTTATTGATTTCCTCGGAGGTACGATCTCAGTGCCTGCCCGCCCTCCCCCCAGCCTTCTAGACCCGCTTCCCCACCAGTTGCAGCCCCTCCCTGGCCACACCCACCAGTGCCTTCATTCGTTAAACCGCCGTGCTGCCTGCATCTTGCGGTAGTAGGTCTCCGCCTCCGCCTCACCCATGTCGCGCTCGCCCAGCGCCAGGCTCCCTGCCTTGCGTCGCAGCGTGGACTCGCGGCTGGCAGGCCCCAGTGCCCCATCGGCTGCGCCCAGCGGAGGCAGCCCCTCGCCCGTGGCCAGGTTGACGGTGGCCACGGCTCCGAACCGCGGCTCCTCCTGGTCCACGTCGCTGACCGACGAGCCGGGTGATAAGCCAGGAGGCCGGGGCCCGCCGCGGAAGCCGCGCGCCAGGTCACCCAGCTCGTAGGTGCCATCGCCCTCCGGCCCCTTGGGACCGCCGCTTGCCGTCTTCCACTCCCAGGGCCCGTTCCCCGCCGACAGGTGGACCACGGGGTGGTGTGGCGCATGCGCGTCAATGGTGACGATACTGGCCGAGTCGCGATCCGACGGTGACCGGTACTGCGACGAATCGGAACTGGCGCTGGACGACGAGCCTGTCTCGGCCGCCTTAGCGCCCGCGCCACCCGGCGCCTTGGACATAGCGATAACCTGCAGCAACCGAGGCGGATTGGCTACGCGGGGCTGCGTGGCGGACACCGCCGCCCCGGTCTTCTCAGCCATCATAAGCCATTTGGCACGCACGGCGGCGCCACTCTTGGGGGACAGGCCGGCCCCCGCCTGGGTCCCCTCCTCAGGGATGTGCACCAGCGGCTGTGGCCCGGCACGCGGTGGCAGGATGACCCGAGGCCCGAGCCCAGGGCGCGCTTGGACGGTGGGGTAGAGGGAGGGGGGCACCGGACTTCCTCCCTCCTCCTCTTCTCCCTCCTCCTCCTCCTCGTCCTCGTCCTCGTCGTCGTCTTCCTCCTCCTCCTCCTCCGCCATGGACTCCGCTGGCGCTCTCAGGTGTGCGGGGCTGACCTCGTCGGGCAGCCCCAGGCCGCGGCCCTCCATTGATTTCTGCTTCCACTCGCTGATGAGCTGCTTGGAACGTGAGGCGTCTAGTGGCACGTGGATGGTCATGTGTCGCCGAGCGGGGTCGTCCAGTGAGGGCGTGCTGACACGTGGCAGCGTATTGCTGAAGGTCACCATGTTCTCCTTACCCATGGGGCTGCGCGGGGCCAGCAGGTCCACATCCACGCTGGCCCGCTTCAGGCTGCCCAGCGAGCTCTTGTCGCGCGCCACCGGCCGCGGAGCACCTTCCAGTCGCCCTGGTGGACCCAGCTCGTCGGTGCTCACCGACTTGTTCTGCTGATACACCGAGTCGTGGCCGCGCTGGGTCAGGGCGCGCAGTGCGTCCTTAGCGGATGCCGCTGTGACCACCACCGGCCTCTCCGCGGGCGGGGCCTGGAAGTTGCCCACCGCATGACAGGCCTGGGGGGAGAATGCTGGAATGAGGTGGGGGGGGGGGGCGCAGGACGCAGATGCAGGAGAGTCTGAGGGGGAGGCAAGCTTTTGTAAGGGTGTTGGAGGAACGAGGCACAGCATGGAGAGACGGGGTCCAGGGGTAGGTATAGCCTTGTCTGACCGGGGAGGGGGGCCGGGGGGTAGCAGTTTCTTCCAATGGGAGCATATTCCGGTGTGATGGTTAACCACACTGTGCACCTGGGGCAATTCTGAGCCCAGAATGTCAAGGGACAGCCCTGCAGAGCGCCCCCATCTGCCCCCCATAAAAGGGCAACATCTCCCCCCATACACACCCCGTCCTGCGGGCAGGGTCACATCTCTGCCTCCTCATCAGACCCTCAAGGCAGCAATTCCCCCTCTGGGACCGTACCTCTCCTCCTGAAGCCCCTTGGACCCTTGCCTCCTCCCTCAGTCCCCCATGGCTGCTTTTTGCCATCCCCCCCGAAAACCCCTCTGGTGGTCCACTCTCCTCTGTGCCCCAGATGCCTGCCACGCCCCTCAGACTCCGCCCCGCTCACCAGGTAGGCAGCGATGGCAGCGCCAATGAGGAAGCCAGCATATACATCCACCGGGTGGCTGCGGTATTGAGTGATCTGGGTGAGGCCACAGACGCCCGCCGCGATGGCGAAAGCGAACACCAGGATGGGTTTGAGCAGCTTCGTGGTGTCAGAGATGACAGAGTTGAAGTACATCTGCCGGCGTGGGAGGGGTGGTGGTGGTGTTAGCGTCAGTTGGTGGGGGGAGCCTGCGGAGGGGGCGGGTCTGCGAAGGGAGTAGGGTCTGCTGAGGGGCAGGGCCTGTGAAGGGGGCGGGATCTGAAGGGGAGTGTCATATAGGGCGTGGTCTGCTGAGGGGCGGGTCTGTGAAGGAAGTGGGAAC